ACCTAGCATGCCTTTTTCATGCATAAATTGACACAAAACAATATTCTTTCCCGTCATAAAAAATAACAATAAAGATGCACTCGAGGAGGCATAAATTCCATAAAATCAGTTTCTTATTTAGTGTGATGTTGCCTTCTTGATCGTCAAAATTGGTGTTAACTACGGCAAATTTTCATTGCTTTTGGAAAGCCCAAAAACGGTGCCAGAAGGCGTTTAAGTATTGAAGAAGTCATCAGAGCCACAACTTTATTACAGGAGGTCAGTCACAACGATACGTGTCGCAGCTTTTTCATATTACACAATCGGTTACTTCACCGTCTTCAGCAAGTTTCGTCTACCCGGCCTGGTTCAACCAGGCGGGCTAGACGATCCTCTGAGAGAGGATACATTAAAATACGCAACCAACCGTCATTGACCGTCCAATCAGATCAAAGGAGTAATCGTCGTAGATCCTTGATCATGCGTTATCGATAATGTTCGGTGCCTGGAGAAAATTGACAATTGACAAGAGAATTGTTTATTATTTTTGACATTTTAGTTCGTTTAATTTAATAATAACTAAAACCAGTAGTTCGAAAGATATATATAAAAATAAAAGATAAAAATCCAAAAAATTAATTATCTATTAACGTGGATTTGGACGACAATAGGTAAGAACACTAAATTTATTTCTATATTCAATATAAACTTGTTTATTAGGTTTTTAGTTTGTGATGTTTCATGTGATGATCATTTTCATGTTCATCGTCTTTGAATTGACATGAGGATATCTATGGAAAAGTAACTAATCTGAAAGTAAGCCAACATATCGTTTGTCCTTTGTGTGCTAAAGAAAAGATTTTCTTTTCGCATCACAGCAAACAAGAGCTAAGAGAAGATATTAAATCAGTCAGAGAAGATTTAGCGATACAAACAGAAACTTTAAAAGAGAACATTACTGTATTAGAAAGTAAACTCAACGACTTGGAAAGCAGGGTTCAAATAATAGAAAAACTAGCTAGAAAGAATAATCTAATAATCTTTGGCCTACGGAACAATCGAAATTTAAAAGACATTGAGCTAGCTGCCTGGGTAATAGAGCAATTAAAAACTCTTTTAGGAATAGATGTATATTTAAGTGACATAAATAATATATATTATCTAGGTAACGACTCAAACAAGCCTTTGCGTATAGAACTTAACACATATTTAAAAAAAGTTTTAATACTCAAAAACGCTTATAAATTGAAGGGTAAACAGATTTTTATAAACCACGATCTTTCCAAAAAAGAGAGAGTGGTGAATAAAGTATTGAATGAGAACTTAAAAGAGGCTAAGAAGAAAGGTTTGAGAGCGTACGTAAAGAAAGAAACCCTTATAATCGGCAACGAGAGTTTTAGCTACGAACAGCTAGTGGAGAGAGGGCATAAAGAAAACGACTCAGACAACGAAGTATTTACTGACGTTCCATCAAGACCTTCCTTGAGTGCCCCGGGTACACCTGTATTCGATCTACCAGTTCAATCTAGTGGTATCGAGCGCAACAAGCTAGAATCAAACCATCCCTTATCCAGGCCAAACAATACAATTGAATTCACCGTTGTTTCAAGGACATCCAGTGCGGAAGCGCGAAGGGGTTCAAATAGTAATACAGCATCTCTACAATCATCCAGTAAGGTACAAAGACCGGCAACTAGGAGCCACCCGAAACCTTAGTATAGTAATCAGAACATCCATCTAGTGAAAAATGACAAATGTGCGTGAAGAGGTAACATTCTAGTTAAAGATATCTAGTGTTAGAAGTGTGTTTTAGTGATAAAAATGGACTCATACATAAGAGATTTTCAAGTTAAGGATATAGAGACAGAAACAATTAGTGATTTTAATAATTTTAGATCTAGATACTCAATTAATCTAAAAACGACTTTAAATGTATACATTGTAATATTAGCAGTTTAGGTAAAAATTTTGATAATTTTAGAATATTTTTGGACACGCTCAGCCTAGAATTTGACGTAATTATTCTTACGGAAACTTATAAACAATATGATATTTCTAATAGTCCATTCCAAATAAAAAATTATGACCTAATTTATAATGAAGGTTAATTGAATAAAAATGACGGAGTTGTTGTTTATATAAAATCGGAATTTAATTATAAACATTCTATAGTTTCTTTAGGTAATACAAAGATATTAGAATTAATTATTAAATATAAAAACATTGAAAATATTTGTATATCTGCTATTTATAAATCTCCTAGTATTAACGAATTAGATTTTATTACAAGCCTTGAGAGGTATCTTTCTCAAAAAAAGAAGTTACACTCACACATTTTAGTTGGTGATATAAATATTAATTTATTTGATGAAAAAGATTATGTAGAACACTATAAAAATATAATGGCATCTTTTAACTTCAACTCATACATTAATAAGATAACTAGACCAAGATCCGGTACATGCATTGATCATTTCTTTGTAAAATGTTCAACGGAAATATCAAGGAGAATAAAATCTTTTATTTTTGAACATGATATAACAGATCACTATCCAATTGCTATATCTCTACCTATAGAAGTAAACAAACCGAAAAATAACCTATGTAAATCTAAATACTATACCAATTACACATCATTAAAAGAAGATCTCCGGAAGGAGTCCTGGAATGATATATATACAGAAAATAATTCAAACAAAGCTTTTCAGATTTTTATGCGAAAATTAACATTGTATATCGACAAAAATAATAAAAAAGTAGAAATTAAAAAGTCTAAAAACACTCATTTTATAAAAGAGTGGATGACTTCTGGGCTTCTTAAGTCAATAAATATAAAGAATAAATTATATAATAAATTAAAGCTACATCCGACAAATCAAGAATTAAAAGACAACTATATAATAATTATAAGAATAAAATTAGGTCACTAATAACAACTGCAAAGAAAAATTACATAAAAAGAGAATTTAACAAAAACAAAGAGACATGTTCTTCTCTATGGAAGTGTATAAATAAAATATGTGGTAAAACACAAAAAAATAAAGATATAAATACAATTAAAACCGAAGAAGGTCACGTATATACTGATAAATTAAAGATAGCTAATGCGTTAAATGATCATTATTGTACTGTCGCAGTAAAACTAGCAGTTAAAATATCTTCAACAAATAATACCTGTGATATAACCGTCTGGAAAACAGTCTGTATTTACACCAAACTTGCGAAGACGAAATAATAAACATAATAACAAATCTAAAAAATAAAAAGCTCCTGGTTATGACAATATTAGCTCGGATATTATTAAAATAATTTCAGGAGATATATCAAAGCCTTTAACGTTTTTAATAATTTTTTGTATCGAAAGTGGTTGTTTTCCGGACTGTCTTAAAGTAGGTGTAATTAAACCATTATATAAAGTGGGTGATAAGGAGCATATAGGCAATTATAGACCGATATCTATATTATCAGTTTTTTCTAAAATTTTTGAAACAGTTATAAAAAAACGTTTGTTAAAATTCTTTCTAAAATTTAACATAATATCAAAAAATCAATTTGGTTTTTTAGAAGGCAAATCAACAAGGATGCCGTTCATGCATTGACATCATCAATCTATGATGCTCTAGACTCGGGACATCGAAGCCTCTGTATATTTGTAGATCTCGCTAAAGCATTTGATACGGTAAATCACAAAATACTTTTAGACAAATTAGAGAGATATGGAATACGAGGAAACAGCCTTAGTATTTTAAAAAGTTACCTTAAGAACAGATCACAATATGTTAATTTGGGAGATATCAATAGCAAGCCAGGAAGGATTGAGCATGGTGTACCACAAGGCACTGTGTTGGGTCCGTTATTATTTGTTATTTATATTAATGATCTACTTACAATTAATACAAAAGCAGAAATTTTTAGTTACGCAGACGATACAGCGATATTTTATAAATCTAACTCTTGGTCGAATTTGAAAAGATTGCAGAGGAAGACTTTCAGACAATTAATACCTGGTTTATCAAAAACAAATTAACATTAAACTATGACAAAACCAAATATATATCCTTCTCTATTTATAAAAATAATGAACCAGATTGGGACAGATTACAAATAACCAATAATAATGTAATACCGGAATGTGATTTTATAAAATATTTAGGGGTTACAATCGACAAACATCTTAAATGGAATATTCATATTAATAATGTAACTAAAAAATTGCGAGGATTGTTGCCGAAATTTAATTATTTGAAAAGTTTTTTGGACGTCAAACAGCTTAGAATCCTGTACTCATCCCTTGTACAATCTCATTTGACATATGGAATTCTAGGGTGGGGTGGTGCGGCTGAATGTCATTTAAAGAGCTTGTATTCTGTTCAAAAATGGTTCATAAAAATTATTTACAATAAAAAGAAAACTTTCTCTTCAAACGTTCTCTTTAAGCAGGCACATCTACTGGATATACGTCAGCTATACAGCCTAGATGTTTTAAAATTCATTTATCAGGGGAAAATATCTATTGAACATGTTGACCATGAATATGAAACTAGACATAAGGCGTTTTATCCTAGTTTATGCTCTAAAACTGTTGGACAAAGATCTTCAAAGTTTTTTGTACCTCGATTATATAACATCTTACCAACCTTCCTAAAGGATGTTAAAAGTTACTCCGGGTTTAAAAAAGGGGTATGCAAATGGATGGTTGATCGAGGGAGAGATATATTTAATGACCTAGTTAACTTAAAATATACAAAATAAATTTTCATAAGTGCCAGTGAACATTATATATTGTCATAATTAAATTGTATTCCTTTCCACATACAAGTAATTCTATTACTTTGTGGTAATTCTTTTAACGTTTATTTTGATTCTTAAAATTTAAATATAGTCTTCGTTAAATTGTACTTAGATAATGTGTATTAGATATAGTAGCATATTATGTTGTATTGTACTGTACTATTTTATATCTGTTTTAATTTCAAGAGAAAATGTTTAATAAACGTTATTATTATTATTATTATTATCGTTTGTCCTTTGTGTGCTAAAGAAAAGATTTTCTTTTCGCATCATGAGGAACTATTACATCAATTAAAAAATGTTAGGAAGTTGATTACTTGTCATGGAAAAGTATACCAATGGAAATTATTTGTTAAAGAAGTATAATTCTAAGGGTAAATTTTATTATAATTAGTAACCTGTCTATTTTTTATACGTAGATGTTTCAGGTTTTAAGAATAAATTGGTTGAACCCAAAATCTGGAGGAAGTACCTATATCCATACACAGAATATGCCCATTAAAAATACTAGTCCAAATTTGCTTTAATGGTAGACAATTATTCAATACAAATTAACTTTTTAAGTGACTGAAATATTAAATAGTTTAGAATATGGTATAACAATGTAAAAAAATATTATTTTCAGGAACGATTAGGGCCCGATATATTTGAAACTCATGTTGGACATAGTATTGAGTTGGGTAGAATATTATTCTACGTTAAGTGAGGGTATCAGATACCTATTATTGTACTGTATTTTAATATATACATTAGAATTGTTGGTTTTTTCATATTTGTTTTATTTATTATTTTACTTACAAGTTATATAAAGTTAACACTAAAATCTACTTTTTGACTTATATAAGTTAGTCTGTGGTTTAATGCGTGATTACATCCACATGATTTCAAGTTTTTAAAATATAAATATTATAACTGGCTTTAAAAACTCCATTAAACTGTTAAAAGTGTAATTTATTTCAAAATAAATATACATATATAGGTATATATTAATATCGAAAAACATTTTTATTTCCTTAACACCAATTTAATCATCACATACATATGTATAAACATTTATTTACGTTATTTCAAATGAAGACCACAGGAAAAACCAGCTTTGTTCATTTTAACTGGAGCCGAGAAAATGCAATTACGAGTGAACTACTCTGGTTTTTCTCCTGTAGGGCAAAATAACTAAGCTGTAATATCTCTGGGACTATCATATTATTATTGCTTTCTTTGATGGTGCCTCGAATAATGCTAACACTTGCCTATAAAATTGTCTCGCTATCAATTTCTATGAAAATGTAACATATTATCTGGTTTTTTCCGTGTAGTCTTCAAATAATCTAAAAATTCAGCAGGAATGATCCATTATGCAGCAAACACACTGATGTTGAATCATGTGAAGCTTTTTTGTGGGCATTTCACAAATAAAATGAAATGTCTGATCAAAAACTGAAAATGCAAAACAGATAGTAAGCTTTATAAATACATACATATATATAAATAATCATACCTACATCTATTTATGTCGTACAATCCAACCGATATTTTAATATCCTAGCCCAAGTAAATAATCAAAAATGCACTTTTTATATCAAAAGCAGTAATGTTATCAAGGGTTCCAATTAATATACAGGATTTAAAAAAAAACACGATCCTAATTCTTATTATTTTTCTAAATACGTATTGTCTGATAGGCAATTACAAAATATAAATCTGATGTAAATAGAAAAATAAAGTGAAAACTGTAAAAACAGGTAAAAACAACAACAAAAATTCTAACCAAAGATTTAACCGTCATACGACATGAGCATCACGTGATTGCACAATACCCAACGATAGGGTACGTACCTCTTTCATCTGATTGGACGGTTGGTTGCGTATTTTAATGTATCCTCTCTGAGAGTAGGTCTTAGCGGAGCTGAAGCACGGAGATATTTCCGACTGCTCCACGAAGGACTTACTCCAGAGGAAGCAAAAGCAAAAAAACTCCTCCGAAAAGGGGAGAGTAAAAAAACCAAGAAACAGCCTCACTCATGTCCATCAAAGTGCAAGAGGGGGAGCGAGAACCTCTCGCCTCTTCTACGGCAGGGAGAGAAATACATCGGGAGGCAAGCAAAGACGTATCACCAGCTTTGCCGCTATTGCTGTGCAAGTGAAAATGGCGGTGCTGCCAAAGGATTTCCCAGAGGTTGCTCTGACTACCGACCAGCAAACGTCTCTAGAAGAAGCTATACTGGACGAAGTAGTGGCGATCAGATCGCAACACAACGATCTACAAAATGTGGGTCAGCTGCGTTTTGCGAGGATACACTTTCGGGTGGGCACGATCCTCATAGATTGTGTATTTCAAGAATCGGCGAATTGGTTGGTGGAAATCGCACCTGAGCTTAAAAATTGGCAAGGGCCGGAACTGGTTGCAGTGAAGGGAGAAAACATCCTTAAAGGGGAGGCCATCGTACGGTCTTTCTGCGGAGGAGCAAGGGGAAAGACACCATCTACCTGCTGAGCCTTATCCAGGATCAGAACTTCAATATAAGGACATCGAGTTGGCGATGCATCAACTCGAGGGAGGGTCATGGTCAGGTCCTCATAATAGGAATTGACCGCAAATCCAAGGAGGCAATAGAGAAAGGAGGCAATAGAAAAATATCCTCTATTATAGATACGGGACAACACCGGTATCAGGTCTAAGGAGAGACCAAGTTAAAGAGGTGGAGAAAATGGAGACAGATCCTTCAGCCTACACTTCACGGGTACCTCAGCCCGCGGCAAGCTCCTCGACTGTGAAGGGCACAGAGGGCCAAACTCCAACCGTGGAAGGGTGTGTACCCTCGGAAGAAGAACATCTGTTGTCAGAGAAGGATGGGAAATACCCTGTCCCCTCTATAACAGGGGCATAATGTGTTATAGACTGTGTGATGAGTTATAACTCAAGGAAGGGGGCACAATAGATCTTTAAGGTCGCAGTGATTAACCCCCTCTCACTCATTCTACGTCGGTCACTTCCAGACTATATGGAAGTAACGACACAGAGAATATGGTTTTGTTGTCCATATCCTCAACGAGTAAGGTGGACAACGAGGCGATATCTTGTTCAAGCCGCTTACACTTACCACAAGAAACCTACAAAATCTTCTTACGTTTGCCACAGAAACCCAAATTTCAAATCAAACAGTAAGAAATAGGCTGCATGAAGTTATAACATTCGATCAAGGTGTTGTGCAGCATTTAACTGCCAATCATCGTGGGGCACGAGATATATTTGCTCAAGAGAACATCGTCACTGGGGCGTGTAGTTAGGTTTGTTTGTTCTCTATGTTGTAATTATTTTGGCGTGGATCAGTGGAGGCGCGTCCTTTTTAGACTAGTCATAATGATGACCGGCGGAGAGTATACAGAAGATCCAATGAACGGTATCTGGACACAACAGTCAGAGAAACATTTTGGTAGAGGTTCCGTCATGGTATGGGGAGGTATAACTTAGGAGGTATAAATAGGCGGACTTGCATGTGTTTCTAGACGGCATAATTAATGCTGAACGATTCAGAAATAAAATTCTTGAACCATATGTTATTCCATTTGCTGCTTAGCATGGTCCAGAATTCATCTTACAACAGGATAATGCCAAGTTGAAGAGTCCAATATCACAATTATGGATTGGTCTGCTAATAGCTCTGATCACAATCCTATTGAGCACATTTGAGATCTACTAAAGAGAAGACTACAAAGTCCTCCACAAGCACCAGATCTTCTTTGGGAGAAAATATTCGAGAGGTGTGGTTCCTTTCCTCAAGAGATTATTCGGAGCCTCATTCCGTCTATGGCAAATCGGTGTGCAGAAGTGTGTAGAAACCGCGGAGGATACTCACATTATTAAGAAAAAAAAATTCTGTTGACAATTAATAAAAAAATTGTTTAGCATTCATAACGTAATAAAAATACAATTTTCAGCAGTTTGCCAACTTTATTCGCCATGAATCCCAAGGTACATACACTACATTCAAACTTAATTCCTAAGAAACATATTGCTAAGTTTATATGTTCAAATAAATATATTTTCTTTGTTTAAACGAAATTTATCAAAGTGATCCCTAATTCGTTTTGACTAGATTTGTAAAATCTTAAATCTTTAATTAATTATCTATAAAACGACAAAAAAACAAATTAACAAAAAATAGAAAAAAATAATGCCAACTCATTATTATATCATAAATAAAATATTTACAGGTATCATTATAAAACCACAGCACTCAATGTTGAAAAGTTAATTGAAATAAAAACCAGTTATATATTATTTGTTTCAACGATAATTAAATAATGCCATTTTTTATTAATAACTAGGTTTTTATATAACTGTGATAATAGTGAGAGATTTGTTTTAAAGTTCTCAAGATTTTAAATATCTATACATATAGGTAAAACATCAAAATTAATAAATCATCATCGATAAGGACAAATAAATCATCATCGATAGCCTGTAGAATAATATGGAATAATACCTATTAACTTTTGATAATAAATAATATAAAAGTTACTCAATATAAAAATAGAAAACATAAAAACAACTTTAGATTGGTTCTAGGCCCAGAGTGGTAAATAGGAATAGTTGGTAAATTATTTTACTATCTTATACGAGTATGCATTTAAAATTTATAACGCATTGCAAACCTTTAAAATTATTATGCTATATACATTAACTGGTTTATTATTGTTGAATAATATGAACATATTATCAAAGATGAATCCCACAAACGCTAGAATTTATAGCCGCAAGAACATACGACCATACGATCGAGAAGAAACGGCGCCAAAGACGGCTGCGGAGTGACTATCGATGATAATTTTTCCGAGGTCAAGGTCTAGAAGCCAGTTACTTAGCCCGTACTCTTATATATATTTTAATGGCGCTTGCTGCCAGTCGGCCTTAAGAGTCCATTTCACTAGTCCGGAAAAGTAGAAAAATAAGTGTTCGGCATTTAACGTTTTATGTAAAACTGGCTATGTATTTTTTCAGAAATGGAGAAGGAAATTAAAGATAAAGGATTATACTATATCCGTATTGTAGCACATTTTTAGACAACTTCTTTATTTTTAAGATTTTGATGGTCAAACATCAACAAAATATTCCTTATGTTCGGTCTAAATTGTCTCAAAAACAAAGACATAATTTAAAATTCCGGTACAATACGGAAATAGATTGAAGTTTTGTGATTACAGTGATATATAATTTATATGATTTTGTATCAAATTGCTCGCTAATTTATGGCAAATACTGAAGCTCTGCAAACCTTAAACAAACCTTAATCAAAGCACGTGTGTTTGGAATTTTGGATGTGACTTAACACGACAGGGTCGGGCTAAACCTTAGGCAGATTTCTGAAATATAATATATATTTCCCTTGGCCACACACCCGCTTTACCCGACCTTCGAGAGCGATCCGAACAGTACAGCTTAATAGACTCTTAAGAAGGTTGTCATTATTTTGATATTGAAAAAAAAGGTCCGATTAAATTTATATCTCCGAAACTAAAGTTTCAAAAAAGTCATACTATACTAGAAATTGTGCAAAAACTCTCAAAGATATGGCGAGACAAAAACATATCTAAACACTTAAAAAAAAGGCTTGTTCACTGCCTAATATTTCCTATATTAATGTATGGCTCCGAGTCCTGGACGATGAGACAGTCAGAAATGAAAAAAATTGACCCAACTGAGATGTACTGTTGGCGACGAATGCTCAGAATTCCCTGGACTGCCCGGCGAACCAATGAATCCATAA